ATATCTGCAGTTTCTCAAGTTGTTTTTAGATATAACTCCAGTGGGAAAAAAAAAAAAGCATAATTAATTGCATGCATGGTTTCATGGGGGGTATAGCAAGTAGGAACAGAATTTACTAATACTAGGTAATCTTTACTTAGTATTAGTAAATTTGGCTGAAAGAATAATTTAGGTCTTTCAGCCTTTTGGTAAATAGCTCCGTGATACCGTGGGAATTAGGGAGCTATCTAATAAGTGGCTGCAAGATGCAGCCGTGGCACGAATAGGATCAGAGTTTCATTTATTCTAATGCAATTCCGATCCGAACAAAGTCCCTCAAGGGCACCCTTTGTAGTGATGCCTGAATATGATGTCATTCCGGCCAGGCATCACTAAACTGCGTGCGTTAGGGAGCAGGTAAAAGACCTCCCGAGTGAAGATCCCCACTCCAGTTTCCAAAGGTAGGGAGCAATAAATAAAATGATGTGAGTGTGTGTAAGAATGTGTAATGTGTGTGTGTCTATCAGTGAGTGTATGTGTCAGTGTGTCTGCCAGTCAGTGAGTGTGTGTCTGCCAGAGAGTGAGTGTGTGTGTGTATCTGCCATTGAGTGACAGTGTGTGTCAGAGATTGTGTGTGTGTTTCTGTGAGTGTGTGTGTCTGGCAGTGTTGCGATGGCCATGGATGGACAGTGGAGGACATGGAGGTGCATGGAGGCACGCAGCGCCACGTAACATTACGACGTGACGTCAACATGGTCCACCTTCACAGGGTTTCAAGAAGTAGAGGGAGAATCCGCTTTGGCACAGGGTGTGGACAGCTGGACTCTGAAGCCGCATACTGGCAGCGGCAATGTGAGTGGAGTCTGCTTGTTGCTTAATGTTTATTTATTTATTTAAACACGGGCCGGGGTTTAATAGAGGTGGGTGCTGGGATTTAGTAGAAGGGGAGGGACTGGAAAATAGTATAGAGGAGGGGACTGTGGTTCAGTAAAGGGGGGGTGCTGTTTTTTGTTTTTTTAATACTGTACTTTTCAAAACAAACCTATGTTTCTATGAAAATGTAAGGTTTTGTTTTTTTGCGGCCCACATAAACTTAAACCTTGTTTATTTGGCCCATGCTAGCCTTTGAGTTTGACATGCTTGCTTTAAATTATGGTGCAACACACACAGCACAAATTCTAGGTTTTGCTTTGGTTCAGAATGTGGACAATTGCCTCTGTCCTTAAGGAGTTAATGTAGTGATCTTGGAACCTATATGACATCACTTACAATTGTCAGTCAGTAGCCTTAAGTGGCTAGTCATCCATTATCATAAAGGGTTTAAGAAAAATGTATAGCCTTGTATAGCCTTTACATTTGGCTTTGATATTTGCTGCCCTGGCAACACAGTCAGCCACAAATGTTTCTTCTGGTGCCCTAACTACTGAAGCAATATGTAGTGGTTGTGGTGCTTAAAGTGTTCCTTTAACTTCAGATGTAACCCATGTAAGGTACACAGTCAACAGGTTGAAAGAAAATGAACTATGCATTATATAAAGGAGCCTTAGATGACTGAGTCTTCTGTGAGAACTAAAACATGACTTACCATCCAATCCAATTATGGACCCTTGAGGAAAGCCAAAAAAGCGTTGTTCAAGTCCACTAATAAAAGCTTTGGTGCTGTCCACGCATCTATGCTTGGAACTTGTTAGGAATGTCATGTTGCAATTCTTGAACTTCTCAGCTGTGAATAGTGAGGGGAACAGAGAGGACAGCCTTAAAGCCAGGTTATTCATGTCCTGCTCTCCCTTTTGGACAAGTTGACCATCCATCCAGTCCTCGTACCACATATTCCAGTTGCGCAGGTCTTCCACAAGATCAGAACCCCCACCATACTGTAGGATCAAATTGTGCATTTTCTTCATCTTCTTGATTTGTTTGTGTGTTGGATACCTTGTGCCATGTCTTATTACAGATACAATTTGGAGAGGTGTACAAGTGTTGGGCAATAGATCTTGCTTTCTGTTGACCAGAAGAGGATTCTCCAGAAGAAATGGATTTATCTCTTCATATCTAGTTTTGGTTCCAAAGTAAGAGGCTAGTCTGGGAAAATCACTTGTGATTGAGGTATGTCCCACACTGCAGAACCAGGTCACGGAAATTAGAAGGATCTGAGCAGCTTTAGGTACACATCTTCTGTACATGGTAAATGCAAAACTCATGGTGACAATTTAAAAAATAACTGGTAACCTGGAATACTACTTAATGCATGGGATTTAGTGGCGCCAGAGGTTATTTCGTTTTTTTTTAAGGTCACATGAGAACCCTACAAAAGAAACAGTATGGTATCATACACAAATTAATTACACAACAATAATCATCAGTAAGCATCTACGGCTCAAGTTCAAGAGAAGAAATTAGGGTCCTAATAAATGATAACATTTAGGACTCATAAAGAGATTAGAACGGGCACTTTATATGTACACACAAACAGTCTCTCAACTTTGACATTCCTAAAGTACATGTAAATCCTTAGAGTTTTCTATATTCCTCACAGATCAGGCGGTATCTGAACGCAGTCACTCAGTCTTTACACTCCGCAAATGATATCCAAAGAAGGAAAAACTGATACTGCTGATGCGGAATCGGAACTTATGCGTTAAAAATATCATAGCACACCGGAAGGACCACAGGCACCAGCGGGACCAAGGTAAGTATAATGGGGGAAACCATTCAAAAATGGTTTGACTCCTTAAAGGGACTCTCCAGTGCCAGGACCCTGCAGTGCCCCTCTCCCTCCCACCCCCGATCCCATGTTGCTGAAAGGGTTAAATCCCCTTCAGTGACTTACCTGAATCCAGCTGTGATGTCCCTCGGCAGGGGGCGGGTGAGGGGGAGTAGTGGCCAAGCGCGCATTAGACCTCCCCATAGGAAAACATTATTCAATGCTTTCCTATGGGATTTCCGGCGATGCTGGAGGTCCTCATGCATAGCGTCTAGCGTCGTTTAAAACACTTTTTTAAAAATACAGAAGTCCCTCTAGTGGCTGTCTAATAGACTTAACCGTGCAAGGTAATTATTGCAGTTTATAAAAACTGCATTAATTACCTTACAGGGTTAAGGGTGGTGGGACTTGGCATCCAAACCACTCTAATGGGCAGAAGTGGTCTGGGTGCCTAGAGTGTCCCTTGTTGTGGAGCCTGGGAATACCAGATACCACAGCCACTACAGCAGCTTGCAGTGCTTATGGTGCTTAGAGCAACCCTCTGAGAGAACACTCTGAACACCATAACCAATTCAACTCAATGCTGACAGAGAGAAAATGGAATGATGGGTATTCAGGAACAGAACTTTGGTGTCCTGTCAGCTCCCTTCTCTCTCCTCCAGTCCGGTCAGCTCCCCTGTCAGCTCCATTGCAAGTCTCGCGAGAGCCGCGGGGTCAGAGCGTTGCACTCACACCGCGAGACTTACAGTGGAGCTGACAGGGGAGCTGACCGGACCGGTGGAGAGAGAAGGGAGCTGACAGGAGCTGCAGGAAAGATAAGTTACAGCTCTCTGCCAGTCCCCCTCCTACACAGCCCATCCACTGGACCACCAGGGAATGAGAGACCCCCTCCCTGCCATGTATCAAGCAGGGAGGGGGGGGATGAAGAAAATATAAATACAAATTTAAATAATAATAAAATATTAATAATATTAAAAAATAATAATAAAATAAAAATAAAATATTGATAATATAACAATTAAAAAAAAAAAATATATTAATAATAATAATAAAAAAATAATAAAATTGCCCACCCCCCACCAAGGCTCTGCATCACACACACACACACACTGCACTCATACACTCATACACACACACTGCATTATATACACACACACACTGCATTATACACACACACACTGCAAATAAATATTCAATTAATATAATTTTTGGGGGGGATATAATTTTTTTTAGAAATTTACCAGTAGCTGCTGCATTTCCCAACCTAGTCTTATACTCGAGTCAATAAGTTTTCCCAGTTTTTTGGGGTACAATTAGGGGTCTCGACTTATATTCGGGTCGACTTATACTCGAGTATATATGGGTAATTTATTTTTCACGCACAAATATTTTCTAACTTTCCTCTTATTATAAGACAATATAGAAATGTGTATAAAGGGAAGAAAAATATAAGAAAAAAAGCCCCCGAATAATCGATCAAAAGTGTATTGTTTAAAGTTTTTAATATCTGTCTACAGTGCTGTTGCCACCATTATACACTTGAGTAACTTCTACCTGCCTTTCTTCCTTCCTGAGTGGCCCCACTTGGGAAGCACAACATAGCAAATTGCAACTACAGTGCATGTGCTGTAGTTGCTGTGAAGAAGATCCATTGAACTGTTCTATCCGTTACTATTATTATTTTATTATTTATATAGCGTCAGCAAATTCCGTAGCGCTGTACAATGGGTTCAGTGTGTTTATATAATATACATATATTATATACATACACACACACACTTATGGTTCTATTTTTAATAAAGCCAAGCTGTCCATTCTGAGTTACCTAATAAGGCATATAATTAGCTGAATTATTAAGTATAAATAACTGTATTAATACACAGAAGAAAAACTGTATGCAAAAAAAATATAGTGAATCAAACATTCATTTTGAAAGAAAACACATATCAGATATTTCCAATTTCAACTCTGAGACTGAAATATATATCATCTTTTTATGTGACATTAAGTATCATTCTAGGTTATTGCATTAACACAAGTTTACTGCTGTTTCATGACGTGTAAAAATACAAAGTATCTGATAAAGTCTCTTTCATCCCATACACTTACAGCGTCCGAGTCTGTCTGGATCTTCCCAACGCTGATGTGATACCATCACAGATCCACAACATTCTATAAGGGAGGTATTGCGCATGCGTGGAATGTTGACCCAGAGCCTCGCCGCATGCGTAGAAGGCAACGTTCCAAGAGACCGCGCATGCGTATTAAGACCGCACAAGGGAACCAAGTGTGGTGACCTCTGTTTCCAAGGAGGCAGCATTTAGTGACGGACCATCTGGTGTTGCTACTGTCAGCATGGAGTTTCCAGGATGTTGCTTTGAAGACTCGGTGTTTTCAGAGAGCAGAGACCGTACAGTGGGTGTAGGGGTACCTTATAAGGCAAAGCAGTGTGAACCACAGGTCGGTGCATGCAAACACTGGGACCTGTCTGTTTTACTGTGATGTCACATTAAATGGGTAGATTCTCTGGATCACACAATTATCAGATAACTCATTCATTTAGTAATATGATTTAATGATACATTCTGCTGTTTATCCTGTCAAGTCATTATTGGAGTTGCCCTACAGCAGCAGAGGTTTTAACTTGTGTTTATTGCTGGGTTCAAGGAGAACTGTCATCATATAACTATTATTTAATATACTCTTTTCAGCAAGTAAAGCCAATAGATTTTTTTTTTTTAATAAGGTATATGTAAAACAAACAAACAAAAAAAAAACACGAGAAAAACACATCCCTACCTTTAGTATATGACCGGATCCTGCAGCTATATATAAACACCTTGTGTCAGACAGTGTTTGAATTTAATCATAGGTCTGATGATGTCAGTGCATTGTGCAGGGATGATGTCAGCGCATTTAGGCTGGAAGAAAGAGTTCATGTAAGGCAAATAAAAGGTTGTTTTACAGTAAGAGCAATAAGGATATTGAAGTCTCTGCCTGAAGAGGTGGTTTTATCAGAGTCCATACAGATGTTAAAACTGCAATTGAATAAATACTTGCAAAAACATAACATACAGGGATATAATTTCTAATTAGTGGGGTAATAGCTGCTTGATCCAAGGAGATATCTGACTGCTATTTTGGGGTCAAGAAGGAATTTTTCCTAGTTTGTGCAAAATGGGAAGCGCTTTAGATCAGGTTTTTTTTTATTGCCTTCTTTTGGATCAACAGCAAAAACATACGTGAGGAAGGCTGAACTTGATGGACGCAAGTCTCTTTTCAGCTATGTAACTATGTAACTAGTGCATGAAGCAAGGAAGATCATGGAGAATGTCGGTTTTCAAACACAGGTTTTGTATTTTTTTCTTTTCCAGCATAATCTATTTCCATTCAAAATTTTATGAAAGGATCATTATATTAAAAGATACCTACAGTTGATGTGACAGTTGTCCTTTTAATGGTAGACTCCATGTACTATAACCATTGCAGCCTGGATTTGACAACTTATCTGGGTTTCAGTGGGCACCCTTGAACTGCAGGCCTTATTAACTATTTTCTCATGCAGGAAAATTCAGTTAGCTGAAATAAGCTCGACTGCACTCTGGTCTAGCATGCTAAGCCTTTGTGCATGGGTCTGCATGGTCATACTTAGCTCTATAGGGCTAACCAGAGTTCATTGCAGGAGAAGACCAGAAGCAGACCTTGGTGCGTGGTGGGGCCCAGGTAAGTTTTCACTAAAATAGTTTTTCTATTTACTGTGAGATGGTGCCAGGGCACTCCTGGCACCCTAAACAGTATTTTGTGCAATTAAGGATATGGTGCTTGGAGTCTTCATTTACAGGGTATTTTGAGATGGATTTGACCAATTATTTATTTTAAAGGGACACTATAGTCACCAGAACAACTACAGTTTATTTTATTTGTTCTGGTGAGTTGAATCATTCCCCTCAGTATATTTGCAGTAAACACAGTTGTTTTTTTTTCAGAGAAAATGCAGTGTTTACATTACAGCTTCCTGGGGCAGTGCTGCACACTGTGCAGCACTGCCATTAAATGTATCCACCCTCTGCATGGAGACAGTGAACTTTCCTCATAGAGATGTGTTGATTCAATGCATCTCTAAGAGGAGATGCTGATTGGTCAGGCCAGTGTTTGGCTTGTGCTGGCTTTGCTCCTGATAGACGGTGTTTCTTTTAGCACTATATGGTCAAGAATGCATATTTGAGTTCCTGAACCTATAGTGGTCCTTTAAGCATTATTTAGGTAACTCATTAAAAAAAATAAAAAATAAAAAATCTAAACAGTCCATCCATAATAAACAGTTAATTATGATTTGAAAGAAATTCCTAAAGGAGGGTTCATCATCTTTCATCTCAGCCTTAACCAGGAAATAGCTTTGCCAACCATATCTCTGATCTATAGGACATTCAAAGTCACACAATGAAGCACCATAACAGAAGTTATGGTGCTAGCATGTACTGCAGTTGCTATCAGGTTATACTTATCCCGGTTTAGAGAACTAAGCTATGTGCAGCTATCTACAGAGTTATGGCAGCCACAGGGATAGTCTCCATGAAGGAGAGAGAACAGTCAGCCCAAGTTGTGCATGGAGGCAGCGCATGCAGGAGTTGATAAAGTTATAAACTAGTAAATATGTTTCACTATTATCTGCTTTATTTACAGTGGTTTAATGAAGATTTGAACAGAGAGGACTGCACTGAGATTATTACAGCCCTGAAATTCAGAGGAGATTTAGCATATAGACATGAAGACTATGAGGTATATCTCTAATAATGCTTTTCATGTTTAATTTTGATTTACTCAACACCATCCTTATATCTATGGAAATGGATTCTTTAAACCTTTTTATGACCAGGAGTAGTTGTGTGTTTATATGAACGAATGTGATTCATGCAGTCCTTTATTGAAAACAGGAATTTTTTAGATCACAGGTAGACAACCTTTGGCACACCAGATCCTGTTGGCTACACCTCCAATAATCCTCTTGCAGCCATAATGCTGACAAGGTTGGTGTAGATCAAAACATAAAAAAATTTAAAATGGTTGGCCTTTTTAAAGGTAATATTTACACTTGTTCCAACCTCATATAGCGTTAGGAATACAATTGGTGGTCGATTAAAGTGTTAAAAACCCTTTTTCAGCATGTGTTTTTTCCAGCACCAAGGCTCCCATGGCGCTAGCTAGGTCTCCTTCTGCAATGTCACGGTAATGGTGGGACCTAATGTGCATGTGCGGCACTCGCACACACATTAAAGCTTCCCCCTAGTAAATTATTGAATCAGTGTTCCTGTGGGGAATTTGAACATGTTAGACAGAGTATATTTCCATTAGGAACCCCAAAGCACCTCTAGAGGTGAAATTAACCCTGCATTGTAAACATCGCAGTTTCTCAGAACTTGCTGGGTTAAACAGACAGGGGCAATGCACCCACACCACTTAAATGAAAGTAAGTGGTCTTGATGCCTATTGTAGGCCCTTAAGGACACATGACATGTCATGATTCCCTTTTATTCCAGAAGTTTGGTCCTTAAGGGGTTAAACTCTTCAGAACTGGGGCTGTTTTAAAAGTTGAGGGAAAGTGCAATTTTTATCTTAGGCAATTTTTATTGAAGTTTTATAAGGGTACAGAAGAGAATAGGGATGGGGGAGCAGTGGTAATATGAAGTGTCTCATACACATTGACTTGAAGACAGTATACACATTTATCATACACAGCTTATTTTCATGCAGACATTGTGTTACATTGTGTTGCCCTGGGTGGATCTGCCGGTTAGTGTCTGCCCCATGCCATAAGAGGGGGCTCACTTTAGTCCCTTCCGGGTTTGCAATCGTCTGGGTTTGTGTTTGGTGCTGGGTGCAGAGCCTTAGTGTTCCATATACCACTGGGGAGGGGTGGTAAACTGTGGAAGATGATCAGAGTGGGGGACGGGAGGAAGGGGGGGGAAGAGTGGAGGGGGAGGAGGGTAGGGCTCTCCTGGGTAGTCGACTGTGTGTGGTCGCTTCTGCAGGACTATCTGTCCTACGTGCGTTTTGTTTGATTTGCGGCATTATCATTGTATTTGCAGTCTCCATAATTATTTACAGTTTCGTTGTTGAAGGGGCGCAGCTGTCGGTTTGTAGATCCCTACCACCGTCATCTCAATTGGGGGTTATATTATTATTATTACGCTCCATATACAGTTGCCAGGTTTCCCAGGCTTGTGACCAAACTTTTTTAGAATGGTTTGAGCGTCTAGCTGGGAAAGTGCAATTTTTATATTTTTTTGTTATGTCTTCGTTTAACGGTAATTTACCTCGTACTCCTTTAGTGCACAAACACAAATGATACACGGTTTGTTTATAAAAAGACTTTTAGGGCTTTCAATACGTAAATATATACCTTCTTATTTAGCTAGAAAAAAACTTTGAGGGAAAATATATTTTTCACAGTTTTGCCAGTTTTATAGACCAGTAGTGTAAGTAGAGTGAATGACCCTGTGAGAGTGTGTGTGATAGACAGAACCATTCATCACTTTATTTTAGATAGTTACATAGGCTGAAAAGAGAGATGCATCCATCAAATTTAGCTTCCAATTTTGCAACAAACTAGGAATATATAAATTTTTGACCCCAGTATACCAGTCAAATCTCTCTTTGGATCAAAAAGCTGTGTGAAATAATGATTTTTCTTCTATTGGAGTGATTTAATACATTTGTCTTTAAACTACATTCTCATGATGTGATTGAAGGGGATACTTGGGGATACGCGTAAAAAGTAATTTCTTCACAAAACTCTCAGCTTCTCACTTGCTCACAATTATTTTTTGGGATGTGCTATGTAAATGTGATACTGTTGCAATCTTTTAGATTGTAAACTCATTTGAGCAGGGCTTTTTTTCACAGCTTGTTTCATTTGACATCATTTTGGTTGTCAATTACCAGATGCTTTATATAGTCATTGTCAAATTGCAAAGTGTTGCAGAGTATTTTGGCACTGTATAAATAATAATTGTACAAAGTAATTGTACTTCAGCTATAATCATAATGATGCTCTGCCCTCTAGTGACTAAGGATTGCATGTGCATCTGTTTGTGTTTCATGTGCTTTGTAACCACTGATATGTATTTGCAAACGCCGGATCATTAGCCAACATCTAGCATTACTCTACCAGGCAGCATCTACTATATTTTGCTGGCACCATTAATTCAGTCCCTCTACCAATGATATATTCTGTAACTGTGGCATAAAGATCATTAAAGGGACACTATAGTCACCAGAACAACTACAGCTTATTGAATTTGTTCTGGTGAGTAGAATCATTCCCTTCAGGATTTTTGCTGTAAACACCGTCTTTTAGGAGAAAATGCAGTGTTTACATTACAGCCTAGTGATAACGTCACTGACCACTCGTCAGATAGCTGATAGAGATCTTTCCTGGGTCATGGCTGCCTAACATGCATCCAAACATTCAGTGTCTCCACCCTCTGTATGCAGACACTGAACTTTCCTCATATAGATGCATTGATGCAATTCATCTCTATGAGGAGTTGTGTTTGAATCATGTTGGATATGCCCCTGATCTTCCTCCTTGTCAGTCTCAGCCAATCCTATGGGGAAGCATTGTGATTGAATCAGGCTACCACTTCTGATGATGTCAGCAGACAGCTTTTTTTTTCCTGAGGCAAACAGCATGCAGATCTACGACTTCAGGCTTGAATATAGTAAGATTTTGCTATATTTATTGAGGCATGATGGGGCTAGATGGTGGTGGTAACACTATAGGGTCAGGAATACATGTTTGTGTTCCTGACCCTATAGTGATCCTTTAATGTTGATGCTGGAGTGTCCCTTACGTTCAGTGCATTTGATAATTCATAGAAACTCATGCTCTTTGATTTTAAATGCTTTGCCTGTTATTAAATGATGGTAACATAATATGTGTCAGTCAGGGGATATGAACCCCCTGTCAATATACATTCCTCTGCTCCATTTTATATAAATTTATATAACCTAAATTAAATCAAGCAAAGAATGTTGTATAATATATTTCCATTTGATCAGTGAGAAATAGTTCTTTCCAAAAGTGGCTAGAAGTTTGTTTTTGTTTTCTATGATGCCTTTTTAATGTATTTGAATGTCTCATTAAACTATTTATAACAATTAGATGTAATGATTCCTGTTTAGCAATGTTAACCACTTGAGAGAGTATCCTGTTGACATTTTATATTTATGTTTTTAGAAGGCACTTGTTGCATATAACCGTTGTTATTTGCTGTTACCAAGAACCAATGCAGCAATGAGAAGAGATGTCCAGGAAAGCCAGGCTCGGTGTTTAGTTTGCTTGAGACGATACACAGAAGCTTTGGAAGTTGCTCAAACTCTGGTAAACTAATTTTCAAACCATTTTCTTCACACATCTTTCTATGGTGTAAGGCTAGTTTGTTTTAAAAAAAAAACATTTTCACATTCGGTTTGCTAAGCATCATGGGGCGTGTAGTCCAAAGCAGGTGAAGTGCATACAGTTGCCATTCCAGATTTAAGAATTCCACCATTCATATCTTTGAACCTCTCGATTTGCATAGATCCTGTTCAGTATTTGAACTTTAATTTGATGATCCTCCAAAATTCGGGATTGTGTAGATATTATAGCCCTTTATAGGCTTTGTCCCTCAATTTTTTTGAGAGGCAAAAGTAATTACACAAATGAACATAATTTTAAGTCTGTCTAACTCTGTGTGTGTTTCTTGGTGAGGTTCTTTGAGGGTTGCACGGAAACCATCCTCAGGACCTGCTTGTTTCAATATTCTCTCGTTGCCAACTTTAAGTTAAGCAAATATGGAGGAGTGTGTATATATAACTACATCCAGTCTTTAAGACTGCGTGATTGGTAATCGTTGTTAAAAATCTTGTGCTGTGTTGTTATGAACTACATCTATGGTTTGGTAGCTCCCACTCCAAAACGTAATCTGGATTTTAAACCGTGCCCAATTACCATCCTCTGCAGATATTTAACTTCGAGGACCCACAACAGAATTTACAGTATAAACACAAACTATTATGTGCTGTCTTTAGAAATGGCATTTAAAATCTAATAAAACTAAGTTTTATTTCTTTTCAATTTTAGAAGGGAAGTGTATTTAACACTGATCAATTGACTTGTGCCCTGAACCTACATATAACCATTTATAGCCGTTTGAGAGATTGGTTTATGGCCGTGTCCTGTTTGCAGCAGCTGATTTCATTGCACCCATACAATCCATGGATGTGGAAAAAACTGGCTGAGTTCTACCTAAGACTTCTTCTGGATCCCTCACAATACTGTTTGTCAGAGGAAGCTCAGAGCATTATCCAAAGCACAAGACCTAAACTAGTAAATGAACATGACTATGCTGACGAGGAACAGCCGTGCTTAGATCGTATTGGGAGAAACGTGGATATACTTAATGATATGGATAATACAAGCAGGACTGTTCTCGACTCAAGTAACCCTTCATTGATAAATATTTGTACAAAAGCAGAGCTGTGGATTAACTCCTGTGCATCTTTCATTCGAGCAAGGTAACCAGCAGTATTTGCTATAATGTAGTTATTACTTTTATGATATTCTATTGGCATTCTTTCATCTCATTTTCTCGTAGAGAGTGTATGAGTCTTAGCTTTGGGAAGTTTGTTGTTTTTGAATATTCCCTTCAAATACTACTTAATTTACTGCTTTCTTTCTCCACATAAAAATTATATCAGTTTGTCCCCATACACGTTAGGAAACTGCAATCGAATATAATTTTATATTATTAGCTTGTCTAACTTAAAACACATCTGCCTTTTTTCACCATGGTAAAAAATCTTTTTATATATGTTATGTATTTGGCTTTGCTTGGGACACACATCCTCACTAATATCATCGATATGTTGGCTTTCCTGGCATCATAGCATCCTATACTTCCTCTGTATGAGAACTGCTTCATGATGGATTGGAACTGGGAGCACATAAAATGCTTGTAAGAGGGTTTTTGCTCTCTCTGTGACTCCGTTCCTTGCTTAGACCATTATGCCACCAGCATCTTAAACAATATTGATATGTGTGAGGAGATAATTTGTAAACCGTATGAAATTAAAATTTATAAATGTGCTAGCATTTCTGCTGTTTAGATATGTTTAGGTTGGATTCAGTGCTCTTTAATTTAGACCTACAAAGTGTGCACCATGACTTTCATAAACTACACTTGCAGTTTGTAGTCTGTATTGGCAATTTCTCCAGTGTAACTTGATTGATAGTTAAATCACATTTTGATGTGTAGATCAAGCTGCTGCAGTGTCACTGATCAATTCTCTGCCATTTTGGAGTCAAATCATATAGCCCTAGCCACACCTCCAATGGCTCAAACTTGGCCTCCCTACACTAATCCTGAAAAGGGAGATCTCCTTTTAAAAGTTCTTTAAAGGGACTCTCCAGTGCCAGGAAAACAAATCCTGCAGTGCCCCCTCCTACCCCATGTTGCTGAAGGGGTTAAAGCCCCTTCAGTGATTTTCCTGAATCCAGCGCTGATGTCCCTCGGTGCTGGGTCAGGCTTCGACCATGCGCCCGCCCACCGGCGGGGGAGACCTAATGCACATGCACGCACATTAGACCTCCCCATAGGGAAGCATTATTCAATGCTTTCCTATGGGGATACCGGCGACGCGAAGATCCTCATGCATAGCGTGAGGATGTCCAGCGTCATTTAAAACACTTTTCGTGTTTTAAGAACCCGGAAGTCCCTTTAGTGGCCACTAAAGGAGGACTTAACCCTGTAAGGAAATTATTGCAGTTTATAAAAACGGCAATAATTACCTTGCAGGGTTAAGGGTGATGGGAGTTGGCACCCAGACCACTCCAATGGGCAGAAGTGGTTTGGGTGCCTTGAGTGTCCCTTTAATTGTACAGTGTGTTTAATTTATAATGTCTCTGTTAATATATAGAAGATCAATTAACCAGAGCAGGAAATGACTTCTAAAGTAAACACACTGTGCTGTAAGATCTGACTGAAAAAACAAAACATTTTTATGGAGGCTGAGTGAGTCACACCAAAGGGAGTTGAGGCTATGGCTGAACAAAGTGATCTAAAGAGACTTAATAGAGTGGATTTGGTGTATTAGTCATGCCCCTGCAGTTCATCTGCTACATTCTTCACCTTTTAGTTGTTAAATCACTTTGTTTATGCAGCCCTAGTCACACGACCCCTGCTTGGAAGCTACACAGCCTCCCTACACATTTCCTGTAAAAAGAGATCTAATGTTTAAATTTACTCTCTTTGATTTAGAATATATCTCCTCTTCTGTTATTATCCTGCAGGAGCCTCCTGTGTGATTAAAGTTTAATTAACAAAGCAGGAGATACAAAGGTAAACATATTTTAAAAATGTCTGCAATATTGCCTTACAATAAAATAAACAGTATGTGGTTAGTGCTACAGTGAAGAAAAAAAATGTCAAATCTATGTGTAAGGCAGCTTATATTTTGGTGGTAAATGGAGAAAATGTACATTTAATCAGACTCTTTCCTTTGCTTAGACGTCTCTTTCAGCTTGTACAACCACAGCAAGCATCATTTGTACTGGAAAACAATCTGAAAGCACAAGATGAAATTGAAGAACGGCTGAAAGAATGTGGAATAGATGAAGAAACCCAAATGCTAATGACTGAGGTATAGTTTTTTTTTGTTTTGTTTTTTAATAATTTAGTCAATGTATATTTTGTGGCTTCCCTGCTGTAAATAAGTTGCTTGTTCTGTTTTCTTGCAGTCGTGTATCAGTGAAAGGTTTTGAATTTTATAATGAATAACTTAAAAAATATATAGTTTTGCTTTAAGAGGGGATCTCTATTGTATTCAATAGAGCCAGAATGCATTCAGTAGTTACAGCTTGTTCATGAATATGAAGCTCTTGCCTGCAGCCAGCATTTTCATGTGTGGTGATATCAGAGTGGTTCCAGGATTGGTCTACTCTTGCCATTTGTATGTAGGCATAGCTATTATAGCTCTGTGGAATCCCCTGCAGACTCCTTCAAAGGAAGTAATTCAGAGAGAGAATCTGAACTATGACAGCCGGCGGGAAATGGGAAACTGAAATTGGATTCGGAACACTGAGGAGAGAAGAAATTGAAATGGCACAAGGCAAGACAGTATAGCAGAATGGTAGGGGAGAGGAATATTGCAAGGGCCTTAAAAAGTGTGAGGTTGAGAAAATTAAGAGATGAGAATGTGGGGGAGAAACTCAATCAGAACATATCCAAACCAATCTTTTTATTTTCTCTAGATAATGGCGGAAGATATTTCAAATGAAGGAACAAAGGAAGAAGTAGATTCAAAAACCACCATGCCCTTGTCATCATTCACAATACCATCTGATGTAGAGTTCAGAGCCAAATGGTTTGAGAAGATGAACATAATTTCCCTTCCATCTTGTACGAAGATTCAAAGTTGTCCAAGATAGTTCAAACATATATTTCCCAGAAAAGACTATATAAAACAACTTTTTTTTGGTTTGTTTGTAAATGTAACATACAATGATATAGGTTTGTTTTATTGATTTTTTTTTTTTTGATTTTTTTATTCCTCAGGGACCAATTACATTGTGTACCATAGATAAATTTGGGGCTGAAACAATGGAACACTAAAGTTTATTTTTTTAAATTGATTCTACTATAAACCTGATATTCAAAGCAGTACTCGTCCAGCAATTGAACTGCACTGGAAGGAAATGTCAAATCCAAATTGAGCTGGTTAATTGTCACATCTTTTAATAACAGAGGATATGACAAGGTAAATGTTCAGCTCCCTGGGCCAGAAAGTGATGACACACTTTTTTTTTTTTTTTTTTAAGTATCAGTCTTTAGATAAAGTCCTGGACTGAATGACATCTTTCCTGTCTAAGAGCAAACCATATTAATAACCATCTTCAAAGTTTCAGTAACAGAACTGAGCCATAGAATACCACCAAGATACTAATCAACATCTGTACAAAACCATCAACTGATTTAAAGGACCACTATAGTGCCAGGAAGACCATACTTGTTTTCCTGGCTCTATAGAGTCTCTAGGCCCCCCCCACCCCCAGGGCCCCCATCCTGCCAGGCTCTAGGGGGAGGAAGGGGTTAAATTTACCTCTCTTTCGAGCGCCGGGCGAGGGACTCTCCTCCTTCTCCTCATCGGCTAAATGCGCATGCCACTAGAGGCTGGATTAACCCTAATGTAAACATAACAGTTTCTCTGAAACTGCTATGTTTATAGAAGAAAGGGTTAATCCTAGCTGAAGTGGCCTGGGTGCCTATAGTGGTCCTTTAATGTGCTCAAAGACTTGCAAATCTACACCAACGCCTCAAATGGCCGCTCTCTAGAGTCTGTGACCTTAACAGCCCGACTAACACATGTAAAGAATTCTAGAAGCAAGAGAACAGGTTCTCATATGCAACAATCTCCACCCATTCAATGTTTAAATGTGTAGTAGATTGATACATCTGCACTAACCCATATGGGAAAATGATAACAGTGAAAGTGAAGTGCTGGTGTGCATTCACTACAGCGGGCTTGCAACCAGAATTCAAAACCAGAATTGTTGCAATTTGATTTGAATTCCGGATAATTCACTATATAGTAGGTAAATCCCTGTTTGCTTTTGCTACTTTAAACTTTTTATGTTGCGTCAGCATATCCAAGCACAAAACCGGAAACATTTAGTTTACGTTTTTCAATTGTTAAGTAAACTGACAAAAAGTTTCTCAAAATATTAAATCTTTCATCCAAATTGTTGATTCTATTTGGGTTATGAATTCTGGTACCCAAATGATTCTAATACCAGTCCTTTTGTAAACACATAGCATATTGAAGGGACACTAAAGACACACAGACCACTTCATCTCGTTGAAGTGGTCTGGGCGCAATTTCCCTGTCCTATTAACCCTGCAATGTTAAATATTGCAATTTCTACATTGCAGGGTTTTTTAAAAGGACCACTATAGTGCCTGGAAAACACGCATTTTCCTGGCACTATAGTGCCCTGAGGGTGCCCCCACCCTCAGGGTCCCCCTCCCTCCCGGCTCTGGGGAGAGGAAAGGGTTAAAACGTACTTTTTTTCCAGCGCCGGGCAGGGAGCTCCTCTCCGCCTCCTCTCCTCCCTTTCGGCTGAATGCTCACGCGCGGCAAGAGCTGCGCGCGCATTCAGCCGGTCTCATAGGAAAGCATTTACAATGCTTTCCTATGGACGCTTACGTGTTCTCACTGTAATTTTCACAGTGAGAATCACGCAAGCGCCTCTAGCGGATGCAATGAGACAGCCACTAGAGGATTTGGAGGCTGGATTAACCCCATTATAAACATAGCAGTTTCTCTGAAACTGCTATGTTTATAAAAACAAAAGGGTTAATCCTAGAGGGACCTGGCACCCAGACCACTTCACTAAGCTGAAGTGGTCTGGGTGCCTAGAGTGGTCCTTTAAGATTGCATCTAGTGGCTTTCAATTATACAGCCACTAGAGGTTCTTCCTGCTTGCTAGGTGACTTTAAGTCGTCTGACACTGGACGTCCTCACGCTCTGCCTGTCGGATGATGTCAAAGGAGGCAGAGCATGACCCACCACCAAGGGAGTTATTTAAACCTTACAGTGCGGGTGGGGGAAGGAGGCAGAGGAACAAAATTAATTTGTATTCCTAGCATGCATGACTTTAAAGGGACATTATAGGCACCCAAACTATTTCATCTCGTTGAAGTCGTCTAGATACAGTAGGTACTGTCTGTTTCAACAGTGCAGTTTATGAGAAACCGCAATTATTACATAATAATACATACATATGTGTATGCTGTGATATACTGGTTTTATGGTGTTTTGGAAAGTTACATGATTAAATATAGGGCTTTTTACATATTGAAATTTGCCGCGTTGGTGTGCTTGGGGCTATGTTGCCTTTGAGACCGTATAGCATACCATTTGCAAAAGTAGGCAATCCAGGTTATTTAAAATGGGATATTAAGTCTTTTTTTTAGTAACCACTTAGTCACAAACCCAACTTAATTTAGTGTTCATATTATTATTTTTTTGTATTTTTAACACACAAACTGCATTTCCACTTTTGAGATCATGATCTACAAAACTAAGTTACAGGGTCAAAAATAGGGCATGACCATTTCAGTTGCCTTTGAGAGATCATGGAAGCCTAGGTAATAACATTTTCAAAAGTAGGTAACACAGAGTATCGCAAATGGCATATTGTGAGATGTTTGGTCTAGCCACTTTACTACAAATGCAGGCTATATTTACTGGTTATACTTTTGTGTTTTTCACAGTGAAGTTATCACTAGGCTGTAATGTAAACACTGCATTTTCTAAGAAAAGACAGTGTTTACAGCAAAAAGCCTGAAGGTAATGATTCTACTCACCAGAACAAATTCTGGTGGGATCATTAAGGGTGAATTCTGCACCCACTCTAGAACTGGAAAACGGATTAAATTGATAGGGTTTTTACATGTCAGACTGAGTATGTGGTTTATTTTCTAAAGTGTCCATGCGGCTTGGGGTATGTGGGTAAAACGATACATGCGTTGAAGGATCGGGTGTCTCAGCATAAAACTTATGCTTATATAATCTTAAACATGATGGGCAAGTACACCAACCCCAAAGTGCAGACATTAATAAATACCTGGAGGGCCTTCACCTGCCAGTATTGACCCCTACACAACAGACCAAACTTGCCCAACCGGTGTCGGAAAGCGAGGTTATTTCAACTATAAATACCCTGCCTCTGGGCAAATCACCTGGACCTGATGGTCTGGATAATCTTTACTATAAAAATGTTTGCAGCACATTAGCTCCACACCTAGTACAAACATTCCAAGATGCAATTGCCCACAAATCCCTATCCAAAGACGTGCTATTGGTGCACATTGTTACACTGCCCAAAGCAGGCAAATCGCCCACACTCCCCCAGAATTTCAGACCTATATCACTATTGAACACGGACGCCAAAATCTTCGCAAAACTGCATGCAACCCGATTAAGAAACATCCTTCCCCACATTATTCACAACGACCAAGTGGGATTCGTGGCGGGCAGACAGGGATCGGAAAATACGAGAAAAGTACTGAACATAATGCATGGCTATAAAAGACGCCAGGGAAGGGTGGATTACTGATATAATTAGACGCGGAAAAAGCCTTCGACCGCCTACATTGGGGCTTTCTAGAGGCAGTATTGCTCAAATTTGGAATACCTGAAGGGTTCCTGTTGGTGGTGAGGTCCCTCTATAGCCATCCTATCGCACATGTGCTCAATGCGGGGTTCCTGTCTGACCCCTTCTTGATCACAAACGGGTCGAGGCAGGGGTGCCCACTTTTCCCCTTGCTCTACGTCTTGGCGTTAGAGCCCCTGGCGCAAACCATTAGAGATCATACCTCTATACATGGAACCACTGTTGGCCAAAAGGAATACAAAGCAAACCTGTTCGCAGATGATATCCTGCTCACTCTTACGCAGCCGCAGATTTCCCTTCCAAATCTCCTGGCAGTAATCACGGACTATGGGACCCATTCCTACTATAAGCTTAATGTGGCCAAGACTCAAGCCCTAGGCATAGGGATCCCAGACCAAATACTACACACACTACGGGCATCATTCTCCTTTGATTGGAGATCTGATTACATTACCTTCTTAGGACTTAACCTCACAAAAAAACTGACCGAACTACTGAAATACAACCATGAGAAACTTTTAAGGGACATAACCGAAAAACACTAGAGGGGGGGAATCTAAATTCCTAACCTGGCTTGGCAGGATAGCTGCAGTAAAAATGTCCATCCTCCCTAAACTCCCTACCTGCTCAGAACGCTACAAATATCTATCCCCAAGACCTATTTAGAAAAATTTCAGGCCATATTAACCCGATTTGTATGGGAAAACCGTAAGATCCGCGTCTCCTCAAAACTTCTGTATAAACCCCTAGACCACGGCGGACTTGGACTGCCAAACATTAAAGAGTATTACAGGGCTGCACTGCTAGCCTCAGTTATAGCTTCCCACGCAGCTACCCTCCCCCTGCAATGGATTGAAATTGAGTCGCATTGGTCGTGCCCCAAGAGCATGCACCATCTCTTCTGGATACCTAAACATAAATGCCCGAACATGCCAAACATGTTGCGTACCACTGACCTGCTCCTTCATACATGGGACAGACTAAAACAAAACATGGGCAAGAAACATATGTGGCTCCCAGCTGCCCCCATATCTTGCGTGCATGCTGTTAACCCATCCTTTGACTAGAGGCCTTGGCAGAAAGGAGGCGGCGCCTTCAATAGGCCAACTGTTTGGAGACAATGGAATACTGCCATTCCCAGACCTCCAACATAAATTCAAACTACCGACGAGGGCGTTGTTCCTCATACCTCCAACTAAAAGCGCTTCTCACACATAACCCCCCATTTTCACACTCGCCGACCATGGCCTTTTTTGAAAAAGCATTCCTAGCCCCTATGACGCCAAACAAGTTACTAGCCTCTATATACCGAGTACTGACAGTCCCGGCAGCATGCAGCTACAAAAAATTTATGCTTGACTGGCTTAAACCAAACATTTGACGTCACAAGCTGGAAAAAAGCAATGTTAGCTCACAAGGGAAAGACAAGCTGTGCGTCACACCTAGAACTGATGAGAAAAATCCAGTATCGCTGGTATATGGTACCGGACAGACTGGCGCGAATCTACCCGAACACTACCAGCTCCTGCTGGAGGTGTTTACAGGAAACGGGGACGATGTACCACAGTTGGTGGACTTGTCCCAAGATCGAGGGATATTGGCGTATGGTGGGAGACGTATTATGAGACGCATTGGGGATGGGCATCACACTCACACCTGATTTATGCCTCCTATTCATGCCACTGGAAAACATCTCTAAACCGGCCTCTATCCTACTTTTCCACGTCCTCATGGCTGCAAATTTGCTGATAGCCAGAGCATGCAAATCTACAGAAATACCGGGTCGTACTGCCCTTACAGCGCAGACTATGAGTCAATGGCCCATAAGCATATTAGCCCGAAAAAACATATACAGAGAGCGGGAATCATGTGGGACACCTACATTAAAACTCAAACACACACGGAGCATACCCACACCCCATGCGCATGTGACCAAGGGGGAGAGGCGGGGGAAGACGTAACAACACGGGACGCTACCTGTAGGGCTCTTATAACATGACAAATTTAAAAAGGAAAATGAGCCAAGCGGTCAGGCGGACTTGAGGGAGGAACAGGGGGGAAACGGATACATCTGAATACCACCTTTAGAAGGGAGGCACAAAGGCATTACTACCACTATGCAAGCACACGCAATTTAAAAAAAAAACAAAAAACCCACCACAAAGCACTGCCGAACTGGCCAGTAGCCTTAACCAGAGAATGGAAAAAAACTGTCTTAGTTAAGCTACCATAACCAGAAGCCCACCTGACCTGCCAATAGTTAGGTCCTGCGCAAACACCTGAAGTGGGTGGAGCAGCAAGACAATGCACAACGTAGACACGATAAGAGGCACAAGGTCTGAGACCAAATCCAACATGGCACCACTCATATAGACAGGCCACCCCATACCCGGCCACTAGGCCTAAGACGATATGCACCCCATTAACCTTACGTGTAGCATAGGATTGAAAATATGTATTTGTTACCGAACAATAATTGTTATGTGTGTATCCATTGGTAATGTAATGTACCCTCCGGGTTATGGTATCCGCCCCTCCCTTTTTCTTTTCTGTACCCAACTGCCTTTTTGCCGACTCAATAAAAAAATATATATATGGTAGCACCTGGGTGTGCACTTTAAATACCAGTTGCGCATTTCTCAAATTTTTCTGGTTTTGACTATTGCGCTGGAGGAACAGTGGGAGTTATGGCTGCACAGTTTACATATCATGTATTTTTATTGAAACAGTGTAGGTAGATATTCTGCCTCTACCTCATTATAGATGATCTAAAAAGTGAATGGTTCATCTGTGTTTAGGACATCATCATTCTATAAACATTTGCATCAGTGTGTGGTTGCTTGGCATTTCTTCAGTAGAACTGCATATGACAGAAGATTTGAAACTGCAATATGATGGAACATAGAGAATTGGCAATGTCAATGCTGCTTTATAGTTGGCATTAATTCAGTCACTCTATTAAAACGGGGATTTTTACTATGCTATACTAGTGCGTATAGCACCGTTGGGAAGTCTGTTACATTAAAATCAATGTACAATATGAAGGGGTCATTTATACTCTATGACCCTTAGAAACTGCTGTTATGCTGCAGATGGAGTAAAATTCCCTGGGCAGTTTGCTATTTTTATGAGAGTTCACAACTTTTCTTTCAGCAATGCTAGTTTAATTCGAACAGCCTTGAGCAGTCAAGGGCAGAACTCTGATTGCCAGTTTGCATATAATTATGTTTTTGATTGCTGTATCTCAGGGAGCAAGTTCTCAATGTCACACTTTTTAATGTTTCACCTATCGTGCACACTTTTTTATAGCCTTGATTTGCAGTGGTATGCAAAGAAGAAATAAAATAGTTGAAAAGCCAAAGTGGTGGCAAAACAAACCTTTTATGTGGGTAGGATCACAGGACATTTTCATTCATGCAAATGTCTTCCTGATCTTAGTCTGAGATGCAAATTAATGTAAGGTATAAGCACATTTGGCACACAGAGTAACTCCAACACACTCATATGCCTTACACGCACAAAAGACTAGGATGACAGAAGGACAATAATACTCTTATTAAAGGGACATGCATTACTCCACTTTTTTTGTTTTAAACCAGCAAGGAAGAACTTTTAAACTAATATACAAACTAAAAAAATCTAAGGAAAAAACAAAACAAAAACATTGGAAAGCTTCTAATAAATGTTTAGAAACTTGGTCAGCTTGCTTTGTTGGGCACGCCCACTAATTTAGCCACCTCAGTTTCACATGCACTAGCAGAAAAACTATGTACACGCTATGATATTTGCAAAGTATGCTGGGAAACCAGAATCTCTTTATTTTATGTTCTCTTTTTCTCTCTCTCTCTCTCTCTCTCTCTCTCTATATATGTATATATATATACACACACATACACACACACACAAATGGAACAAATTGAGAGCACTCATTGGATTTAGTAAACAAAAAAATATATTAAATCAAACGCATAGAAATCAACGTTTCGACCGTCTAGCGGTCTTTATCAAGACCGCTAGACGGTCGAAACGTTGATTTATATGCGTTTGATTTAATATATTTTGATATTGATATTTATCAAGACCGCTAGACGGTCGAAACGTTGATTTATATGCGTTTGATTTAATATATTTTTTTGTTTACTAAATCCAATGAGTGCTCTCAATTTGTTCCATTTGTATATTTTGCACGGAGAGGCACCTGGTCATTGCTGAATTAATGCTTTTGCTATGTGATGAGTGCCAGAAACTATTGTGACTATTGTGATATACACACACACACACATAAAAACTAAATGTATACAGTACATAGAGGAATTTAAAGCGCAGAGCAGTGTGTATCACTCAGTATAAAGAGGGATTTCCTGTGCAGAGCAATGCATGTCAGGAGATAGATGGATTCACTGTGCAGAACATTCTATCACTCAGTATATAAAGGGATTCACTGAGCAGAGCAATGTCATCACCAAAGACATGCATGCCTCATCCAAAGTGGGCATCTCAGTTTAGTGTCCCTTCACACACAGATTCATAGACACAGATTAACATTCAGAAAAGGTCAAATAAAAAAACCTTTTTATATATATTTTAAATAACTACTCGTCGTCCCAGCACAGTTTGTTAATAGTCTCTGCAATTTACCACAATTAGGAATTGTTTTCACTAGAATTGTGCATTAATTATTTTCAACTGGTATGAGCAAATTAAATTCCTTTTATTCTATGCGCAAACTAACCAATCCGTCTGGGATTTACCAGTTAAGTTTTATTTAATGAATAAGACTCCGTTGGTAAATCCCAAAAATTGTTTTGTTTGGGCGTAGGTTAATGCATCAGTGCACAAGTCTAGTTTTCACTGCTCGCCCAATATAAACTGCCATTTTGTTTTAATAACTAAACCTTATTTTCTATAGGAAATATAAATTAATTTATTCCTCTCCGAGTTCAATGATTTGGTGTATTGAAGACATTCTATCCTAATACAAGAAATCTAATAAGAAATGCTAATGCTACCAAATGTAACCAAACTTGCTTATTTGCACTGTGCTCGTAGTATAACTCCTACAAGAGACAAATATGTGCGAATAATGGTAATGTGGACTGAATTTTTAGAAGTTTAGCAGGGAAGGGCTGTTAAACAAGAGACAAGAGCATAACACTGTCAAAGTAGGGTGTGGTTAGTTAAAGGATCACTATAGGGTCAGGAACACAAACCTGTATTCCTGACCCTATTGTGTTAAAACCACCATCCAGCCCCTCATGCCTTGATAGATATAGTAAAAATCTTACTGCATGCAAGCCAGAAGCTGTAACTCTGCATGCTGTTAGACTCAGAAAAACAGCAGTTTGCTGACATCATCAGAAGTGGTGGCCTGATTCAATCACAATGCTTCCCCATAGGATTGTCTGAGACTGACAAAGAGGCAGATCAGGGGCAGAGCCAGCATGATTCAAACACAGCCCTGGCCAATCAGCATCTCCTCATAGAGATGAATTAAATCAATGAATCTCTATGAGGAATGTTCAGTGTCTGCATGCAGAGCGAGGAGACACTGAATGTTTGGATGCATTTTAGGCAGCCATAACCCAGGAAGGATCTCTAACAGCCACCTGAGGAGTGGCCAGTGAAGTTATCACTAGGCTGTAATGTAAGCACTGCATTTTCTCTGAAAAGACAGTGTTTACAGCAAAAAGCCTGAAGGTAATGATTCTACTCACTAGAACAAATTCAATAAGCTGTAGATGTTCTGGTGACTATAGTGTCCCTTTAAAACAATGATGCCAACCAGTCACACGAAATCTTGCATTTAATACAATCCTGCTTAGCTATACCCAGTTTATCATTTAAGATGCTAAATAGATTGTGTTACATTACCATACTAGCAAGTTATGTGTGTGACAGCAAATAAATGCAGGTGTTATTTATAAGCAACAGCAAATATCAAGGGATAGCTTAACTTTTAAGATACATAGCTTAAATTTAGCTAACCTTTTTATATAGATCCAATATCGATCTTTGTTTTATTCAGGGGAACACAAATTGTTACTTCAAGTGCACTTGGAGGAGCGTGAATTCAGACACCAGACGCGTGTTGGTAAACAAAATAAGCCTTTGTCGTTTATTTTTCAGTATGTGTTTTTTTACATTAAAAAGTGCTTATGTGCAAATACTCATAGGACAGTAGTAGGAAGGGAGTAAAAGGGTAAAGGGAGTATAGATAAGACATAGGGATGAACGTCATGTACATATAACAGATAAGTTCAGAGAAAGGGAAAGAACAGACTGATTTAGGAGAGACGGCTCAGGTGAAGGCTATCTGCTCCTGGAACTAGACATATATGGTCTTAAGTGTCGTTTTAAGCATTAAGCATTTCCTGAGTCCAAGTGAGCCAATTTTAATATAGGATATCTAATATGACACCTATAAGCTTGAACCTTAGAATCAAAGTAAATTCTTTCACACTTTTGAGTTAATCTAACTACAAATTATTCATTATTATATGAAAACTTTGAGCAGCACACTATACATAAGTAGCATGAGTTACACTATTCAAATTCACAAGTAACTTGAACTACTTGATTTCAATCTGAGTTAAAAGTGGCTCTGTCATGGTCTGGACCCTGGGTCTTTGTAAAATATTCAAAGACCCCCGACAGTTACTTTGCTGCTGGGGGTCTGGTTGCTGCAGGGATGAGTTATACTTACCTGAGCCTGTCCCTCACCAGATTCTGTTGCTTCAGCTTCCAGGAGCCCACGTCCGTGCTGTTCTAGTGAGGTCTATGAAGGGTTCGAAGACACCATTTCTGCTTGAAACACTGTCTGTAAAAAGAATTCTCTGTTTTTGGGTCAGGGTGTAATTGCATCTATGGCAAACAGCTCTGGACATCCTAATGTTATTTCTGTGCAAAAGATATGTCCATCGTCAGCAAGCACTGTGTGCTGGCGACTGATATAATAAACTTATTTACTTGCAGACAGTGGTTTGTGCGCACGGCTCACGCATACACAGTCTAATACTTTGCTTGTTCAATCCCATATTTCAGTTTTACCCTGCCACCACAATTTCGTCTGCTCAGCCGCCGCCCCAGCCTCCTAACATTGAACTCGCTCCCCCTAACTTTTGGCATTGTCTGCCCCACAATTATCCCTATAGTCCCTCCAGTCAGGTCCTTCCCTGCCTCCCGCGCGTGTGCGTCCAAAGCCCAACAATGCTTCTCGACTAACTTGAAGTGACCCGTTAAGTGTGAATTGTCAGGAATTAAATGTGAATTTAGGTGAAAAGAGCTGAATTAGAGGAACTATACTTCAAGTTATCTGTATTTTCAGGTCTGCTAGTAATGTAAAAAATGATGTTATAATGACTTTAAGGCACAGTTTTTGCAGTGGTGAAGCTGTGAAGGCACACAGTGAGCCTGCAGTGCAGTCAGTCCTGGTAGAGGCCATTACATGTGGTCACTGAGCCTCCCAGCCATAGACCCCAGTTACCTGTGTGCCTGCAATGCTGCACGGTCGCCGCTAGGTGGTAGCTGACTTTTCCAGGCCCGTCATGTCTTCTCCCAGTTCCTCTCGCTGTCATCGTCACGGAGTCTCCCCGTTTGATAGTAACGCTGTGAATGGTGGGCAGCTGATAGCTGGCCGCTCTCTGTCCGCCCCCTCTCCGGGAAACCCTGGGGGGAGATCCGCTTACTGACCCGCCCGCCGCCTGGGACCGGCTCTATTCCCAATCCTCGGTCCCGTTAGGAGAGCTCCGTCCGCCAACCCTTCCCGAAGCGACATCCTGGAACAAGTGAGTAGCTTTCACGGTCACGGTCCGCCACCTCCACTGGCACAGGGATGGCACAGGGCTGGCATCAGCTGGCACAGGGCGGGCACTGCCAAATCCTGGCACAGGGATTGCAACAGCTGGCACAGGGATGGCATCAGCTGGCACAGGGCGGGCACTGCCAAATCCTGGCACAGGGATTGCAACAGTTGGCACAGGGATGGCATCAGCTGGCACAGGGCGGGCACTGCCAAATCCTGGCACAGGGCTGTCTCTGCCTTCAGCTGGCACAGGGCTGGCATCAACTAGCACAGGGCTGGTACTGCCATAATGTGGCACAGGATAGGCTCTGCCTTCAGCTGGCACAGGGCGGGCATCAACTGGCACAGGGCTGGCATTGCCTTCAGCTGGCACAGGGCTGGCATCAACTGGCACAGGGCACAGGACTGGCATTGGCATAATCTGGCACAAGACTGCCACTGGCATCAACTGGCACAGGGATGGCATCAACTGGCACAGGGCTGGTATTGCCATAATATGGCACAGGGCAGGCTCTGCCTTCAGCTGGCACAGGGCTGGCACTGCCTTCAGCTGGCACAGGGTTGTGTGCTCAGGGCTGGCTCTGCCATGATCTGGCACAGGGCTGCCATTGCTATCGGTTAGCACAAGACTGTCTCTGCCTTCAGCTAGTTCTGCCATAGGGCTGGCTTAGCCTACTATTAGCTGTGAGTTCCTGGCTCTGCCATCAGCTGGCACTGTGCTGTCTCTGCCATCAACTGACACAGGGCTGGCTCTGCCAACAGTTCTGGGTCCCTTGCTCTGCAGGATCTGGGCTCAGTACTTGCTATGGCAGGTTCTAGCCAGAACATTGTCTTTACCAGGGTCCAATTTAAATACATGCATGTATGCCATAGGCACCTGAGCACCTCAATATATAGGACAATATGGTTTCAGCCAGGAGCAAGATTGAATACATGCATGTATGTCAGGGCTGCTTGGCCAGTCATAACAACATGTGGCCATATTGGGAAATTAGTTAAATGCATGTATGTATGGCAGGGGATCTACCCAGTTATTACTGGCCCAAGCAACCAGGCCTTCACCAGACTTCACACCTTCTCTATGTGTGTTTACAAAACATCTGCTTTTATAAATAATGTGTGCATGCAAACAGGTAATCTGGTTTTGTGGAAAAGCTACAAACATGGGTGACCTGTGTTGATAGACATATTTCTGCTACTGCAGAAATGCTTGATCTGCTTAGGCAATATAATTTAATAGTTGGTAGCAATGATTGACATGCCAGTTTCAAGGCTATTAACTATTTGATGCATTTACTGCTGTCTTGGTCCAATTTATTAGGTGGTGATCAGTTCTAGAATATAGTAACCCTTTGAGTGCCACAGGTGTAGATTAAGTTTTATGCTTTTTTTTTTTTTTCATTGTACCCATTTTCATATATAAAGTTGACACTTATTATTGTCCAATGAAACATTTTTAATGTCCCGCAACAAGTTGTCTTTGCCATCACAAAAAGTCCTATATTCCAATTTATATCTGTGTTCTATATGTTAAGCGAAGCCTTTTAGTTGCTATAGTAACTGCAGTGCAATTCAGACATGTCGCATCTTCATTTTCTTATTGTTATAGGGAACTGTCAGGGTCCGTGATAAACGCATCTTTTCCAAAATATAAATGCGCGTGTATTTTCTTATTTTACAGCTGCTTTTGTTTAATTTCCCTAAAATGCAGATCTCTTTATGTATATAATGAGGATATCACATTGCACTACCTATATACCTCGGAGAAAAATGTGTGCCTTTGAGTTTATTATAAGTTTTACATATTTTCCAGTGATACCTTGAAGTCAGATTCATACTTCTAACTATGATCAGTTGTTGGACTGCGTTAATAGAGCATAAATAATCTTGTCTGTTAAATTAAATGTAATGTGCTTGTATAGAAGATGCATAAACTGTTGGAAACATTCTCAAGTTTTAGTGACACGGATATCTTGTTACTTAAGGAGATGAGCATGTAGCCTTGTCACTCCATACTGAGAGTGATAAGCGTAATGACAGGCTGAGTGTGTGGGAGCCGATAATATACATACATATTTGAGAGGATGTCAAGAGCTTTGATATAACTTAGGCCTGTTTATTCAACAGGCTGGTTTTTTTTTTTTGGTTTTTTTTTGAACAATGGATAATTGGCACAGCTTAGTCAATTGTATTATTCATACACCTCCCTGGTAAACTTAATGTGGATTTTATATGCAAATTTGTTTTTTGAAGTCACTCTGTCTAATAGGGTATGTAAATCCGTATTACCACCATCAGGAACTTGCTAATTTCCGACTCTTGAACACACATGATTCAGTTGCTGAGATATCTCAGAAGGAATGTACCATCCTGATGATCTAGGGACACATGAATGCAGATATAAGTGAATATGCTACATGGGTGTCTTTAAGGTAGATACATTCTTTAAAAGGCACTAAGAAATTTTTAGTATGTTCCCGTTTGCTTACAAGTTATGTTTAAGATAAAGTAGTCCTGACCTTATCTTAAGTCTGAGTTTTTGGAGGTATAACATGCAAACCCAACCCATCTTCCACAATAGCCCAGTGCATGATGCAATTGCTCAGGAGATTGCTGCATACAGCCCTTTTCATAAAACCTTTTAACCAGACTGGCTACTATAAGTGTATACATCTATTCCATTCATCTTGTGTGTTAACACTAAAAATGTAGGTGGTGGAACTACTGGCAAACAGGGCTGAACCAGTTAAAGGACCACTATAGGCACCAGACCACTTCAGCTTAATGAAGTGGTCTGGGTGCCTGGTCCAGCTAGGGTTAACCTTTTTTTTTTTTTATAAACATAGCATTTTCAGAGAAACTGCTATGTTTACACTTAGGGTTAATCCAGCCTCTAGTGGCTGTCTCATTGACAGCCGCTAGAGGCGCTTGCGTGTTTCTCACTGTGAAAATCACAGTGAGAAGACGCCAGCGTCCATAGGAAAGCATTGTAAATGCTTTCCTATGAACTGGCTGAATGCGCGCGCGGCTCCTGCCGCGCATGCGCATTCAGCTGATGACGTCGCTAGGAAGGAGGAGAGGAGGAGGAAAACTCCCCGCCCTGCGCTGGAGAAAGGTAAGATATTAACCCCTTCCTCTCCCCAGAGCCCGGCGGGAGGGGGACCCTGTGGGTGGGGGCACCCTCAGGGCACTATAGTGGTCCTTTAACTTTGTAGTAAAATAATAGATACCTAGAGAATGAGAACTTCTCTGGCAAACGTATAAACTGCGCAAACAAATATAATCACAGTGATGGAATGAATAGTAGTACAGAATATTATTATTTAGGAAAGAGTGAAATTCACTTAATACATGGTGTGTCAGTAACTAGTGTGAGAGAGGTATTTGAGATGCTGCACCTTTAAGAGAAAGTATCCCTACACTTTCTTTGTAAAGTAAAAATCAATAGAAATATTCAAGAAGCGCAAAGAATACAATCTTGTCACATATAGATAATAAGCATATTAAACATTTTATTAATCTTATTGAAGTCTAAAAATATATAGGATAACAATAACTTAAAACAATGCTTGGTAATATTAATGCTATATATAGTGTGCACACTTCTATATAATATAGCAGAAAGAACGGGGTGTGTATATATATATATATATATATATATATAATACACAAGATCCAGCGCACTCACCTATCCACTAAACAGCAACTTCAATGTTGAAAGATTTTATTTGTTTTTAAAAAACACCTAATCTAGGCAAAAATAATGGGGGTTTAGTTACATTATATGATCATACATTGCATAAGCCTGCCACAACGTCAATGTACCCCATCTTTGGCAGGTCCTACACTAACAGCCTAATGTCTGCTCTTATGAGATTAACCTACTTGGGAAAAAATTCCATCTGGGGCTCTCTGCAGTACAAGGCTAAATAGGGCCCTGGGATGAGGCACCTGTGACAGGGAGGGTTGCAAAACCAAGGAGTTGGCTAGACTCCCAAATATATACATAAAACAAGAGGGGGTTGGCTGCACTCACCTGAACATGCATAAATGGGGGTGCTGCTGGGGCCAAATAATACAATACACAAGATCCAGCGCACTCACCTATCCACTAAACAGCAACTTCAATGTTGAAAGATTTTATTAGTTTTTTTTTAAAACACCTAATCTAGGCAAAAATAATGGGGGTTTAGTTACATTATATGATCATACATTGCATAAGCCTGCCACAACGTCAATGTACCCCATCTTTGGCAGGTCCTACACTAACAACCTAATGTCTGCTCTTATGAGATTAACCTACTTACTTGGGGAAAAAAATTTCATCTGGGGCTCTCTGCAGTACAAGGCTAAATAGGGCCCTGGGATGAGGCACCTGTGACAGGGAGGGGTGCAAAACCAAGGAGTTGGCTAGACTCCCAAATATATACATAAAACAAGAGGTTGAAGTTGCTGTTTAGTGGATAGGTGAGTGCGCTGGATCTTGTGTATTGTATTATTTGGCCCCCAGCAGCACCCCCATTTATGCATGTTCAGGTGAGTGCAGCCAACCCCCTCTTGTTTTATGTATATATATATATATATAGCCTAAAAATATATGGTAGATAAAAATGAGCATACAAAATATAGAAATTTTTTTTTTTTTTTTTTTTTACATTTTTCTATATTTTGTATGCTCATTTTTATCTACCATATATTTTTATGCTTTTTTATATATATATACACACACACACACACACCTTTCTTTCTGCTATATTATATAGAAGTGTGCACACTATATATAGCATTAATATTACCAAACATTGTTTTAAGTTATTGTTATCCTATATATTTTTAGACTTCAATAAGAATAATAAAATGTTTAGTATGCTTATTATCTATATGTGACAAGATTGTATTTTTTGCGCTTCTTGAATATTTCTATTGATTTTAACTTTGTAGTAAGTATTAACATTTTTATTTAATAACTATTGCATTTCATCTCCCCCCACAAGCACATCAAGGGATTCTAGATGCCATTGCTAAAGTTTCCAAAACATAATGGTGAGAATATAGTCCTGTGCATTTTTTACAATTAATTATTTGTATCTTTTATTTTACATGATAGTTTCTCAGTAATTAATTCTGTTTCTTTCCACTGCTGCTGGAGTTCCAGGGATAGCTTGTTCCAGGCTGCTACAGTCAGACACTGACACTGACACAGCATGCAAAAGCACAGATAGAAATAATATATTCATGTATCTGTGTACTTCAAACATCGTCAATTAGGTTGATGGTGTCAGAATAACAAAATATGTGACTTGAAACAACACTTTTGTTAAACGAATAGACAGATCACACAACCGATTGAGAATTTATTAAAAAGTCTCTCTAAGCACCATAACAGCTTTGCACCTTTGGCAAGTTCAAGAGTTACCTAAAACCGTACTTGTACTCAACTGTGAGAGTGTCTTTTGTATAACTGCAGTAGTCTCTTTTATACAAAAATGTTTTTATTTACTATAAGATCGCCTCTCCCCCAGCCTTCAGACAGCAAAGTCTATTAGTGTAAATTTTGCCCAAGATGTTTGTGTACCATATAAATGCACCTAACTCACAACTTGGACCAATGTCTTACAGTATGTCTGTGGTCATCAGGTCACAGACTTCCTGAGCTGCTCTCTAAAATGTTAACCAGGCTTGAGAGGTCTGTCTGCTTCTATGCAAGCAAAGTAGGATCTTTACAAGTTAAAATAAAATGAACTTTTTTTTGTGTATTTTTAATCCATTATTTTACTTTTTAAATATTTTTTTACCTTTAATCCCTTAAGGACACATGACATGTGTGACATGTCATGATTCCCTTTTATTCCAGAGGTTTGGTCCTTAAGGGGTTAAATAAATTGAAAATCTAACTTGCAATATTTAACACAACATGACAAAAGTAAAAAATGTAGCCGGTTTTTTTTTTTTTTTTTTTTTTTTTACCAGAAATCACTGTTTAGTAAACAAACTACTTATTTAGAAAAAGTTTTCATTCTGTAGCACTACATTAGTCCCTTGCATTTAGGTAGAAATCTCTAGGGAGAAGCTCCAGCAGTAGTTGTTAGGATGGTGTTACTTGGCATCTGTCCATTTAACAAAGAAGTGATTTAGGTATATATTACAGATTTGTGTACAATGATGTACAGTGGAGAAAGTGACTCTGCTGAATATGCACATAGTAAAAATTACTCAATGCTTATGTCTGAATGTAAACACGTGTGTTTTTATTTTAATTTTATTTTTTATATAGATCTGCATGTGTTTTGTGAATACATTGTTTACAGTTAAAAAAAAAAAACCTGCGAGGGGCGGGGCCGGACCGCCGAGCTGGACAGGCGCATGTAAGACCAGCTCCAGCAACTACAGACTAACTAAGCTATAAAATCGAGATTTACGACATAAAAACGTCCGGCGATGGTGGCCCTTACCGGGTGGAGAGCACTAAAACCAGGGTGAGGCTGGCCCAATGGGTTTCAGTCCCCTGGAGGAAGAATCCTTACTGGCACAACGAGGCCTACTCCGGCGGTGAGCGGGGCAGACGGCCGCTGCCCAGCTGTCACGCCAATTGGTGCTCTGCCAAGAGCCAGACCCGCGAGGAACCGGCTCCGTTCCCCCCCCTATGGACCGGGGGGGTGATCCCGGTCCTCACCCTCGAGCCCCGACCACCACAATGCACACAAGGTGCCGCAGCAAAGGTGCCCCGACCCGCAATGGAAACAGTGCAACCAAGATGGCGGAGGCCACATGTGCGGGCGCTGAAACCAGAAACCACTTACTTACCTGCAATGGCAGCAAACAAGACAGATGGAAGGCACCAGCAGCACAGACCACTACTGCAGCCATCCACCCGCAGGCATCCTCACATTTAAATGAGCCACACAGCCTGGATAAGACCGCGACAGGCAGTGAAGAGGGCAAACACAAGCCACACAGAACAGACCACAGGATCCTGAGCCGCAACTTGTCATTACCCTGACACATTGAGATCCAGAGATACCCCGCTGGGAGCCACACACTACCCATGGTCTGCTGCACAGCGCCCACCAGGTGACCCCGACGGAATCACACCACACATGGGCAGCCGACCTGCGGCGGGAACACGCTGAGCCCAAAGAAAGCAGAGATTACCGAGAGACATGTGAGGACACTTTGAAAGCAAGTCTCTCTGCCACACAAATTTAGTCTATAAACCTGGACTGAACAAGTAATAGGGGGGGTGAGGGGGTGACACTCAGCACTCAACAGTGGTAGTCCATACACAGTTAAAACTTTATGCATGTTGCCTACTTATCTAAGTGTGACACAATTTGTAAGCAAACTCAGTTAAGCATGTCCATTACTTACGACGATAATCATTTATTAAAACTTTCAAGCTTGTTGCCTAAAACTCACAGGAAGCCTACTACTTGATATAAACGCCTGAAGTCCCATAGCCTGTTAATCTAATGTTATAGTATGGTTCCTGCTGTATATGGATATCACATGGTTTGCTAATTTCATATAATATATGTATAAAATGTGCTTTCTGATCTGCCACAATTTGAAATGTTATAAATATGCTTGCTACGGCTGTTGTGGCCACGCAAGATTGTTGTTATTCCGAGCACAACTAAAATAAAGAATAAAAAAAAAAAAAAAAACCTGCCGTCTTTTTTAAGGGAAGCAAAAGTGTGTGCTTGCCGGAATTAAGCCTTTTAATAGCTAAACGTTGCACATACAGACTCCAAGCACCATGACCACTTGAAATCGCTGAAGTGGTCATGGAGTTTGGAGTAACCCTTTAATGATCTGGTTGTAATAGTTTCACTTTAAGTTAGTGTTTGTTTTTTTTCCATTTGAGTTTATTGGTTTTCAATAACAAAAGGAATGGATGGGTACAGATCAAAAAAGAGGGTAATGTGTTCAAGGTTACATCACAGGGGATCTGGTACATCAAGGCAGCATTCATTACGTCTATTCTATTACATCATTTTTGTGTATGTTGCCCTTCTGGGCAGAAAGTGCTCGCTGCTTAACTTATGCTTCACAGCCTGTCAACCCTTACGTGTGTCCGGCGTCAGAGGTAGTGTCAATGTCGACCCCCCCTGCGTATTTGCCTTTAACTCATCTGTTAGTAGCCAGATCATTTCTCTACATACCTCACGCCTATTCGTTGTGGTATTATCTCGCCTTTTGACAGTACCGAGATTGCAGAGTGCTCGGAAGGGTTCAGGGTACATCTTACTCTGGTGGTAGCGTATCTTGCTCTGTCTACTGTGCGTACACAGTTAATTCTATCTGAATGTCCAATTGGGGGTGTACCGTGTGAGGTATCGTATGAGTTCTGAGGTTATCTTACAACTTGGTTAACCTTGAGTAAGAAAAAGTAAAGAATGGGTTGAAACAGTCAAAACTTCCTGAGGGAAAAACTGTAGGCTAGCCCACACCCATTGAAGCTCCCGTGGACATTACCACCAGCGGTGGCGAGGGCAAGGGGAGAAGGAACAAGGAAGGCCCCTGTATTCCTTTTTATTTTTTTATAGTTTTTTTGTTTTGTTTTTTATGTTTAACGGGCGTGTGTTTGATCTAGGATCTCGGTCTGGTTTTCTTGAGCTATGGAGACTGGAATTGGTATTGTCGGCACCATTTTTCCCAAATTTGAGAGATCTTAAGTTTTTGGGTAGGGGATACCACAGAGGAAATTTCATACACATAATTTAGCCGGACCTTGTCCATAAGATTTTCTTCAGTGGGGCTCTAGCTGATTTCCAATTTGTCGTGATAAGGGCTCTAGCTGCTAATATCACCTGTGTGGCCAGCACCTTCTCAAGCAGCGTCCAATTGGTGGGAAGGTCCAACCATAGACAGGACTCAAACTCCGCCGGGAGGTTGATACCTACTTTGTTAAGCAGCTTAAAGGACCACTATAGTGCCAGGAAAACATACTCGTTTTCCTGGCACTATAGTGCCCTGAGGGTGCCCCCTCCCGCCCGGCTCTGGAAGGGGGAAAGGGGTAAAAACTTACCTTTTTCCAGCGCTGGGCGGAGAGCTCTCCTCCTCCGATCCTCCTCTTCTCCTCCCCGTCGGCTGAATGCGCACGCGCGGCAAGAGCTGCGCGCGCATTCAGTCGGTCACATAGGAAAGCATTCATAATGCTTTCCTATGGACGCTGGCGTGCTCTCACTGTGAAAATCACGCAGAAGCACGCAAGCGCCTCTAGTGGCTGTCAATGAGACAGCCACTAGAGGATTAGGGGGAAGGTTTAACCCATTAATAAACATAGCAGTTTCTCTGAAACTGCTATGTTTATAAAAAAATGGGTTAACCCTAGAAGGACCTGGCACCCAGACCACTTCATTAAGCTGAAGTGGTCTGGGTGCCTAGAGTGGTCCTTTAATGGTTGAATAAGGTCGCATCCCCACCATATGTGGAGCATTGTGCCTCTCTGCGCAACGACATCTCCAGCACTGGGCAGGCGTGTTTGGGTAGATTTTGTTAAGCCTGTCTGGCGTCCGATACCATCAGTACATTAGTTTTCTATGGGCCTCTACGTGAGAATAGGATGTAGTATGTCCAACAATGCTAGCCATTTGTGGGGAGTCAGAGCCTTTCCACTTTCCCTCTCCCACTGGGACATAAACGATAGGCACGGGGAGTCTGGGTGGTTTGATATCGCCTTGTAACACACTGAGAGTAACTTGGGTCTGATGGGTGTTTTCCAACATGTCTGGAGGAGATGGCATTTCTTACTCTGTTCCCTGTCTATGCTCTCAGTAGCTCTATCTACGTGCTCTAGTAGTACACTCTTAATTTGGAGTTAAGGAAATACATATCATGGGGCTAGTCTGTACCAGGGCCGGACTCGCCAACCGGGATACCGGGAAATTTCCCGGTGGGCCGCGGAACCTATCAGGCTCCTGTAAATCCGGCCAGCCATGTGGGAGCTGTGAGGCTGCACAGGACCCCATGGGAGCAGGGGGAGCCAAGGGATGTGGAGGTAAGAAGCAGGTCAGTGTGTGTGTGTGTGTGTGTGACTGCCTGTGTGTATGTATGTATGTGTGTGTGACTGTCTGCCTGTGTGTGTGTGTGTATTGATCCTGAAGAAAGACCCACTTAGGGACTGAAACGTTGATCCATGTTTTAATCTTGCAAATAAAAGAAGATTTTAAGTGAAGACCGTGAGTGCTGCAGTTTCTTTCACAATCTGGATATCAAAGTCCCAAGCTTAAGCACCCAACAAGTATATACCACTGGAGCATGTGTGCAAGGATTTTCCCAGTGTGTATATATATATATATATATATATATATATATATATATCACCCTACATAGCACAATGACTTATGGGGCTGGCATAGATTTTTTTCCAGGGCTGCTTCGTATCCCCAGTCCGGCTCTGGTCTGTACCTGTGTTGGAGCTCTGCAAAGGGAGTGATCTCATTGCCCGTGAGTAGTTGGGATATTTTGGTGATGCCTGCCTCAGCCCACGAAGTTAGTGGGAGCCTTGGTAAAACCGGTGACAGGGCTCGTAATGGGGGCCAATCTATGGAACATGGGTGTGTTAGATTGAATGGCTCGAAACTTATCCCATATACGTATGGTTATTTTTGTGGTGTAGAAAAGCGTGCGTGGGTGAGGGGGGTAGGTAGGGGTTAATTCTTTGGGGGAAGGCATGACTAGGGGTTTGGGGACCCCTAGTCACCTGGGGGGAGGGGGGTTAAATTTGTATTTTGGGCCCCCACCCCCCTGCTTAGGGGTGGGTTCAGGGGGGAGGACATTAGGTCCCCCCCCCCCAATTTGTATTTAGGGCCCCCACCTGCCACTCAGGGGTGGGGGCCAGGGGGGAGGAAATTTGGTCCCCCCAATTTCTATTTAGGACCTCCACCCACCGCTCAGGGGTGGGGGCCTGGGGAGAGGACATTAGTTCCCCCCCCTTATTCTAGTTTAGGGCCCCCACCCACTGCTCAGGGGTGGGGGCCAGGGGAGAGGACAATAGGTCCCCCCCCTTATTCTAGTTTAGGGCCCCCACCCACCGCTCAGTGGTGGGGGTCAGGGGGGAGGACATTAGGTCCCCTCCAAATTTGTATTTAGGGCCCCCACCCACCGCTCAGGGGTGGGGGTCAGGGGGAGGACATTAGGTCCCCCCCAATGTGTATTTAGGGCCCCAACTCACCGTTTAGGGGTGGGGGCCGGGGGGAGGACAATAGGTCCCCCCTTATTCTAGTTTAGGGCCCCCACCCACCGCTCAGGGGTGGGGGCCAGGGGGAGGACATTAGGTCCCCCCCAAATTTGTACTTAGGGCCCCCACCCACCGCTCAGGGGTGGGGGCCAGGGGGAGGACATTAGGTCCCCCCCATTTTTATTTAGGGTCCCCACCTGCGTGCAGGGGTGGGGGCCGGTGGCGAGGACAGTAGGTAAAATTTACTAAGTAATTTTTACTTAGTATTAGTAAATTTGGCTGAAAGACCAATTTAGGTCTTTCAGCCTTTTGGTAGATAACTTCCTAATACCGTGGGAATTAGGGAGTTATCTACCAAGCGGCTGCAAGAGAAGTCCCGAAGTCCCGATATTCTGAAATTTCGAAGTTGCCAAATTCTGAAGTGCCGAATTGACGAAGTCCCAAATTTCGGAATGCCAAACCGAGCTGAATATTTTCCCCATGCACATGCCTAGTGTTTAAGCAGTACTGATGTATGCTTTATGGGCTAGCCATGTAGTTTCTATGGACGTGTCTGGTCGGTAGTTAGTTTCAAAGTAAGCCTTCAGTTCTTTACGGAGATCCTCCAATATCTGGGGGTCAGTAAGCAGATTTTCATTAAGCCGCCAGGTTCCCCTCCCCTTAGCAGGAAACTATTCGTTCAGGTGAAGTATGATCGGAGCGTGGTCCAACCCCGTTATAAGACCTACAGTTGTGTTACCAATGTTGCTAATCAGGGAGGTGGGTATCAAAAGTCGGTCTTTTCAGGAGTACGAGTTGTGTGCCAAGGAGTGAAAAGT